TTACTTCTAACAATTTCTTTCTATGCCTATCCTATTTACCCACCCCACAAAATTATATAACCACCGTTTTTGCAGGACAAAATGCTGGGACTAGGGGTATATGAGTGGGGCTACATAAGCTACTTTTGCCGAATTTGGCCCCAAAGCTCCAAAAGAATGATTCCAACCTCCAGGGCGAAGTCATGCCGTCCATCCAATCCTCTACATCGCTCGCTGAAGAGCACAGAAGTTTTTTCAGACATGTACATGCGCAGCGCAATTTGGCCAAGTTCAGCTTTTAACACCACATGTTAAAGCGTATTTCAAGAGACTTAAGTGATGGACACATGGCCAGAAGCGGTCGAAGATCAGCTGATCGAACCGTTGGTTTGTAGAAGGGTGCACCACCCTGGTCTTCTTCTGTGATAGCAATTAACTCAACCACATTGACCAGCTGACCACGAAGGCTTTTTATCTGCCTCAATGCCTCTGGAATTCGCAGGCAACCAACAAGTAACTCCGCCGCGATGTCTAGCGAAGTAAGAATATCCTTTTGAGCTGTCAGAAGAGGCAGGAATTTCAGCATGGCTATCATTCCATAGCCCTGTCTCAACCTCATCACATTATGCACCTCCTCGGCAGCTACCTCGCATCGGAGACGGGAAATGCGTACATCAGCCTTCAGTATAATTTCCTCAATGGCATTCCTTACAAGGGAGACACCGCGACTCTCGAGAATAGGTTCAAGGATAAATTGTAGGTCAACTTCCTCCAGGGAGAGTGGAACAATTCGGTCACCACTGATGTAGAATTCGCTGCAGCCCATGAAACTCACCCCAGAGGGGCATGCATAGACCTCGGGATCCTCAATTCTCAGGGGCACTTCAACACTATTTTGAAAATAATAGGTTGCACAATCTTTCGGGTCAATGTCTCTCCGACGCTTTTGAAGTCCAAAGTGTACTTTAGCACCCGGAAAATAGGATTCGTACTTCACCGTCATTGCCTTGTCGGGATATCGGTTGCAGTAAATCAGAACCACGAGCTTCAGAACCGGAAATTGGATCCCTTCATATACGTTGTCAGGAGAGATGGATCTGAGGTCTGTTCGCAGCATCCGAAGATTGTTAAAAGAAAATTGAGTTTTTCGATACAACAACATTGTCCACGGATGTATAGACGGGTATCCACTAAAGCAATTTGCTTAGTGTTACGGAGGCGTTGTATCACTGCACGAAAACCACCAGGGCACCACCGTCCAAAAAAACAGACTTCCGCTTCGTCCAGTGATGGGAAACAGTCCACCTCCTTATCAATACTCGGCGTAACATCAGGCACGTGATACAGCCTCAGGCTTAGACGGCGTAATCGGGGCAAACGATGGCTTCCAAAATGGGCAAAATAATCCGCCGAGTTGAGACAATGAGAACTGAAATCCATCGAGACCACATTTACAAAGGGAATCCTGAAGAACGCAGTCAAAAAACTCTTGATGCCTTCGTCGCGTGTGGGTTCCCCATCACAGAGGGAGAGTTCTGTCTCCCAATCACTCGATCGTAATAACAATTTCTTAATCGCACACGTCTCCTCTGCCCAATTCTCCTCGAGAAATACGGTAATTGGATTGTTAAGAGCGAATTCTGGGAAGGCTAAGCCAAAACGTGACTGGTCTAGACGCGATAAATACTTTCGCAGTCGATTCCTTACGGCTCTCTATTGAATAGCCATCTGGAATTCGGAAGGTGAATTAGTAAAATGAGCGAAACCTACCTCGAAGTACTTTTCGGCAGACATAATGTCACATCGGTGGCGTCTCGCTGCTTAGGCAAAATGCCCGTATTGCGGTCCCAGCGGTAGCTTTAGTTGAATGCTGACTGGCACCAATGAGAGGCCGACTCTCTGTTCGGTGCTCGTTTCCGCACCATCCAATCAGATTTCAGACAGAATATTGGCTGCCAGCCGTCACGGCGTGGCATGACCTTGAAGTGATCACGTGTTGGAGAGTGGATGTTTGATACTGGCCGCTCGAGCGTAAACCACGGCATGCGAGCATGCCCCAGAGGCGTATCATGACTGGATGGATTAGGTCAGCAGAGGCACTGCCGGGGCCACGGAAACGATGATCGGAAATTGAAATTCTTCATGAACGGTGGAGTATACAGAACAGGTCAGCAGCCATTATGATACAGGTCAATGGCTCAGTAGGCATTTTGCACAAGAAAGTGCATTTTTGACGCCAGAAATTAACTGCACTTGGGTATATTTGTAGAGCAAGCCTCCTATTCACGTCAATTCGGAATAAATAATCAAAGCACTGGCCACGATGCATTATCCATTGCTCGCCAAATGGGAGAAATGAAGACTAAGCGAGGAATGCGGCCACCGGCTCAGTAAACAGACGAATATCGGAGAGCCGCCTCGATCGCTGGTTATGTTTGTGAAACAGGCGTCCTACTAACATTAATTCGGAATAATTAATAGGAAGGTTGGACGGATTCGAATAAATCAATTGACCCAATTGATCGAACCCACACAGCAGGGAAGGCTTTTCTACAGCCAACACACTACCAATTGAGCTATGAAGGCATATCGAAGTTTTGAATTTAATCAAACCTAGGTCAGTTTACCCGCCCAACCTACTGCTCGTATGGAATCCACCATTATGGATACCGTAACCTGACTACCCAGCTTCGGCGCGCCTTTGAAGTTCAAGGGTAGAGCGCTGGCTGTATAAAAACCTTCCATGTTATGTGGGTTCGGATCCCACCGAGGCCACTGTTTTCTCCCAACTGGATGAATTAACTTCGGACGAAATAATTTAAGCACAGGACATGATGTATTATCCATTGCTTGCTAAAGGGGAAATGAAAGCTTTAAGAGAGGAATGTGGCCAAAGGTACAATCAGTAGACGAATATCGAAGGCAACCTCTCGGATAGCCGCTTCGGTCGCTGGTTGGTTGTCCTCGTACCAACGCCGCTCATATAAAGCAGAGCTCGGCGGGTGCTGCAGTTGCAGACTTATACGCCACGCATCTGCAGAATATACTCCGGTCTAACTTACGAGGTAGAAGAGCAATTGATGAACAAGTGAGTGAGACGCGATGCGAGGCGATTTCTGTTAAACAAACCAGCATGTTTGCATATCGAATGGGAAAGCTTTTTCTGAGAGAATGTGTGAAGAAGAAAAAGCAGGCTGGGCGAGCATCGGACGCATTTAGTTATTACTTTGGACTTTTGAACTCGCGTAGGATTACACCATCAGAAGTCGCAAGGGCAGCAATAACACAAGCAATAGTTATAGGACATATTAGCCAATCAACGGTCGAAGATTCAGGTCATAATGTGATTATGCCAGGTCGATGCATCAATTGACTGAGAAGAAGAAGACTCGATCGCTGGGACAATACGTTTATATACCTGACGTTTCGACGTCCGTTGGGGATTCATCATCAGAGACATGAGTAGGAAACAGTATCAGAACAGGGGTAATGCATGCACCGAAGTTTGCAGTATTTATAAGATACAGTCATTATTGCAAACATACAGCGACAATTAACATTAATTACCTTCTTGCGCGCGGATAGTTTGTTGGACGGCACGCTAGCTCTGACATGATGAACTTTCATCAGAGGCGGTGGATACGGATGTGATGATTGCTCCGACATCTGACTAGGTGAGTGGGTGTAATTAAACATCTGGGTTTCCCCTCGTCTCCTGAATGCGGGCGCCAGTGCATCAGCACAATTTCCGAACCTTTGTCCGGTCCTGTAAGCAATCTATTTTCATTTCGGCGAAGCTCCTTGAGACTATTGAGATGGGCCTTGGTTAGGGGACTATGGGTTTTGGAGCATTCCTTAAGTATTGGTGAAAGCCATTTACAAGAGTCGATTTGAGGTAATCAGATTCCCTGGGCTCGGAGGGTTTGTAGTGGTCGCTGCTGCCGGACGCTCTCCTAACATTTGACGTCCCAGACAAGGCCACTCAGAGCAGGACCTCGTGCGAATGCATTTTTCGGCGTGCCTCCGACCAGATA